ACAGCAAGACTAACATCACGAAGGCGCCAAAGATGGCCCAGATTGGCATAAACCGCTCTGGCTTTCACTATACGTGCATTGATCTCATCACTCACACCACCACCAGCACTTATGCAGCTACCCAGATACACGAACTTCTCGACTACTTCAATCTGCTCACCATCCAGAGTGAGTACATGATTAGAATCCTGCCAATCTTGTAGAAGAACTTTGCACTTCGAAGGTGCAAAGCACATACCATACCTACGGACACTGATTGCCACCTGATTAAGTGCGGATTGCATGGCTTGGGCATTCTCGCACAGTAAGACAATATCATCCGCATACTCAAGGTCGAGAAGTCTTTCTCCAGGCAACAGATCCACACCACCATTACTTACATCCACCAGAGCTGCTTCCAGAATGTCATCGATGGCAAAGTTGAAGAGGAATGGTGAGATTGGGCAACCCTGCCTAACCCCACTGCTCGAATGGAACAATGGAGAGAGGTGGTTGTATGCCCTCACTCTGCCTGAGGTGTTTGTGTATAGGGCTTTTAGGATGTTAATAAACTTCTCAGGCACACCCTTCTTCAATAGACAATCCCAGAGAACAGTTCTGTCCAACGAATCGAAGGCAGCCCTGATGTCAAGAAACACTACGATTGTTGGCCTTTGATAAGTATGGCGGAGGGTGAAGATATGATCAATACATCCTCGACCGGAATGAAAAAGCAGCTTGCTCCTCGCGAGTCAATCTTTCTCGGGTTCTGAACAACCTACGAAGTATGACGGAAGCCAATAGCTTGGACGCAATCGAAAGTAGACTTATCCCCCGATAGTTGTTACAGGAACGACGTGAACCCTTTTTAAAGATAGGGACAACTATCGACTCATTCCATGACGTTGGTACACTCTCTAGTTCCCAGATCTTTGTAAACAACGTCGTCAGTCCCTTAGTCAGAAAGTCACCACCATCTTTAAAAAGAGCCGGAGGTAAGTCGTCTGGGCCCGGTGATTTGTAACGTTTCAAGAGTTGGAGTTCCTTGCGGACTTCCGCCTCATTTGGTGGATCAGTCGTCACCGGCCATGGAGGGCAGGACAGTCTGACCGATGTTGCCGGAGCAGCAGGCCAGTTGAACTGCCCTTCAAAGAATTCTGCCCATCGTCCAAGACGTCGATGGATGTTAGTGATTGGCGTTCCGTCATCCTCGCAGATTGTTTCGCTCACACCAGACTTCTTGCTGTCAGTGGCTCGGATGAGTTGGAAGAGCTTCCGGTAATTACCAGATGCAGCTGCTGCTTCCAACTCACTGGCACGATCCGACCACTAGGCTTCTCGGTCCTTACGCAAGATTTGCCCGATTTCATTACGTAACATCCTTCGTCTGTGGTCAAACTCACGGTCACCCGGAGTAGACCGACGGGCTTCCATGAGTTGTAAGGAACCAGAAGAAACCCAGTAATTGTAAGCCGGACGTTTCGTGAACCCACAACTGACTTTGCCCGCCATTGTCATGGCGTCATGCAATTGCAACCAATGCTCATCTATACTTTTCGGTGGAATGGTAGCTAGCCTAGAAGCTAGCTAGATTCGTTACTTACTAGCAACAGAAGTTGTAGCCAGCTTGCTAACATCAATCCTTTGGTGGAGGTCACTTCGTTGTCCACTGAAAAGTAAGGTAAGATTGGCGCAGACCAGAGCATGATCAGATTCCAGATAGGTACTCCAAAAGGAGCGGCAGTCTTGTACACAATCGCGCCAGCGGTAGCTGATCGCGATGTGATCAATCTGAGTCCAGGCTTGAGATGAAGAAGGGGGACGCCAGGTGGCACATCGGCGATGACTGTGCCGAAAGTTAGTGCTAGCCAGAAACAGGTTGTGGTCTGTGCATAGTTGCAGTAGACGTTCCCCGTTATCTGTCCTGCTACCAACAAGTCCCCATCGGCCACCTAAACGACTCTCTTCTGTGCCTAGACGCCCGACCTGAGCATTCAAGTCTCCAGGTAGTACTACAATATCTGTCGAACGCACTTTCTGGAGAAGAACAGTTAACTGGTGGTAGAATTCATCCTTGATTGCATCCGGGCTGCAATCTGTCGGGGCATAGGCGGTGATGACGAAAAGATATCGTTTCTCACGCCGATTTCTTCTCACTTTGATGGTACTTTCTAATCTAACAGCACATAACCGGCTGTTAATGGGGATCCAATCGATTAGTGCTGCCTCAGCTCTAGCGCTTAGTGCTACAACAACGCCAACAAGACCAGACGAAGATGCCACAGGGTCCCCGGATAAACGCACATAAAACAAGGTTTTTGAAGCGACAGATGGAGAGCGAACTTGTAGTACTTCACCAGAGTCTTGAATACGGGTCTCGGATAGACAACACACATCAATATTAAGACTTTCCAAAGACATAGCCAGCCCTATCTGTTGTCCGACCTGCATAAGTGTGCGAACGTTGAAGGCAGCCAGTTTGAATGGTGCACGTGGTTTCAGGAAAACTGCTTCAGTACTCATATTCGGTAGTAACATACAATTTTCAACCAGGCAGTGACTCGAGAACGTTTAGATAAAGCTGAATTTTCACAATAGGCGAGCTGCTGTCTGAGTCGAAACGGATACAAAAAGTAGAAATAGGAGATAGTGAATAAATGACGTAGTAAATAATAATAATAATATCAGTCATTCCAATGTTAGTCGGAGAGAAACGAATATTTTCTATAAGCAGATAGTTCATCATAGTTTTAGTGTGTGGGCTGAGATACTGCCCGGGTGCCCAAACCGAAGCAGGTGGTTTTCTTAGGGGGCCACACCCCGAGCCTTTGACCTAAAGGTATAGTCCACAAGGCAGTGGAGCATCGTGAGGAGATGCAGTCCCATGGTAGCCGGTGACCAACGATTGGTTCATACGCCATTTGTTCCTTCAGGATACTGGAGCCCATGTGCACCATAGAATTGGGATCCGGTTATAGCGCCGGACGTTCGCTTTTCGTCCTCTCATTTTCGTAAACAACAGTAAAGCCACGAGAATGCAGTGAGTAGGACTTCCCTGGCAGAGGCTGTATAAGCGTGGCCGTGTGAGAGTATTTCGAGAGGGAGGGCGAACCCTCCCCGCTCTCGGCCATACCAGGGCATTTGGGGGCCCAAAGCATTGCTAAACCATCCACAATAGCAATGGCGAGCCCCCAGCCTCATATGAGACCTTCAGCTCTACACAGCCATATAGCTTATACTGCAAACAACACATATATAGGGTAGTAAGCAAAATAGCCCAGCCTGAAGCGTTAGGGCTTAAATAACGCCTAAAACCCATTGTCTGATGTCGGAATATTATAACTGCACCACCAAGATCATTTTTATCGCATTTGCGAAATTTTCATTTTTCCGACTTTTCAGACCCTGAGTTAGGGGTAGTATCCCTTCTCGTGGTCCCAAAGCACATTCCGGGGTGCGTGGTCTCTCGCGGCAGGGGTGTTGTTTACGAAAATGAGAGGACGAAAAGCGAATTTCCGGCGCTTTAACCAGATCCCAAACCAATGGTGAACATGGGCTCCAGTATCCTGAAGGAACAAATGGCGTATGAACCAATCGTTGGTCACCGGCTACCATGGGACTGCATCTCCTTACGACACCCCACTGCCTTGTGGTTCAGGTCGAAGGCTAGAGGTGTGGCCTCCTAAGAAAACCACCTGCTTCGGTTTGGGCACCCAGGCAGTATCACAGCCCTCACACATATCAAGTGAGATTTGTGTGGCTCATATGTATTTGGTACCTCCTTGTGCCAATATCCATGTGTTAAAATAAATAAACTGCTAGGACGTAAATAAGAGAAACAGCTACGAGGCAGTATATACATTGGTCTATGAGAAAAAAATTAAACTAATATGATAGAGATGATGGTGTATACACGTTGATATTTTCGAATTTATTGCTGAGGTTACAGAAAAATCTGAGTCAAGAATTGGTATGGTGATGAATTCTAAGTATTTGACTGCTATAAAAAATTGACAACTCTCTTAAAAGGTGTAGTGTAGTATGGGGTTTAACCTTGAGGAAGCCAAACGGTTGACATTTTCTATTTATTTGATGTGGTAGTGGAGCTTTTATAACTATATCGGGGGTATCCTTTATGTGTGCTGAAAAGTGATAGTTAGGTCTATGCAATAGTACCTGATTCTTTAGAAAATCCTAAGTGATTTTACACCAATGGATGATTTTAGCTTCGTACGTATGTACATCAGTTCGAGTTGCCATACTACATTAGCACAGAGATTCAGTAATCGATTCAAATCCCGTAGTGGTAGAGGTAGTAAAAGTGTAAGTAGTGATAGGGAACATTAAGGTTTGATGATGTTATTTAAGAAGTATAATCCAGTGGAATAGATTTGGAAAGAAAATAAAGGACATGAAGAATTTAGATTAGAATTTGAGAGAACACAAAGAGTAGATGCACCTGCGCCATTGCAAACGATTTTGAGCCATGTAGAACAGTTACACAACCGGGAAAAAGTGGCAATAAAAAAGGACGAGCCCCAAGAGACGCTACCTATTTCAATGACTTAGGTTGTGCGTAATCGTGAGCAATACGTTTTTAGCCCAAATCATTCCACTATTTGTATAATTAGTATAACACTACTATTTCTCACCACTTCATCACCAGGTAGAAAAAACAAGCAATCGAGGTCATATGAGTGAATTCTAGCTGCGTGGACTAACCCTTAACGGTAAGAGAAAATAAAGCTAACTTATTACAGTCACTAACAACTTTCATTCAAAGCCCCAAGAAAAGGTGGGGAAATGAAGCACTTCTTTCTATGCCTCTGATAAGGACGCTTGGATGATTCTGTGAAACTTAAAACAGAGAGCAATAATTACTCCGAGTGTGTTAAAGGTAAGGCGGTATGAAATTAATCAGTGATTTCCTAAAATAATTTTTGTAACATGTACTAACCTTCCAACGTTTGCTTGACTAGTAAATTTACAGTTAAAATGAAATTAAAAAAAGTGAGACTTACAAGATCTGAACCACCAATGCCAATATTAACGACATCTGTTATTTGCTTTCCTGTGTAGCCTTTCCACTCACCAGATCTAACAGAATCGCAAAACTTAGACATGTGTTCAAGAACTGCGTTAACTCCCGGCATAACCTAGTTAAATGGTTATATAGAAGAGCCAGTTACATTTTTCCCATCGACCACAATCGGGACGTTTGATCGGTTTCGCAAAGCTATATGAAGGACGGCTCGATCTTCTGTGAAATTAATTTTTCTTCCTTCCATCATGTCATCGCGCATTTTTTCAACATTGCTATCTTTAGCCTAAAACGGTAATAAGAAAAATATATGAATAGACCAGTTTGATAAGTTGATCAAAACTTTGAGTGTCAATTAGGTTTTTTGAGTAGTCCAAGAGAATAGTACCGCCAGGAAGACTCAAAGTCTGACTGGAATTGAAACGATGAGAATACATATGGAAGTAACCTGAATTCTGAAAATCTTTTAGGATTCGCAGCGAACATTTCCCTCATTGTTTGCGGAACTTTTTTGAAGTTCCGAACAAAATCATGTAGCGTCGACATCGCAATTATGAAAAGATTACGTGACCTAGCCAACGAAGTACCGCAGCTATTGAAAGAGGTGCAACGGACCCAGTAAAAGATCTGAGAAAACATAAAGCTAATAGTAATATAACAAAAGATTTATTTGTGATATGAACCAAAGAAGCTATATATGAATGAAGAGAAGCTAACAAATGGCTTTCACATTAGAATTGTATATTGATTGATAAAATGAAGACAATCCGAATTTCTCACTTTTGGGGCAAAATTTTATTAGTTTTGTGGCAACTTCGGAGAACTTGGAACAGAGACTTTTTGGTTTATACGACAAAAGGGCCTAGAATGTTTCCTGGTCATGGGGTTCTTCCTCAAAATCCTAAGTCACTCTCGGACGTCACCAAGACGTTTGGAGAAAATTTCATATGACTTCGAAGTACAGCTTAACGTTTCTCCAAAACTTCACGGAATTTCCAGGGAATCCGGAGACAGGGACAAATTTTACTTAAAGGCGCTTTTGGAGACAACGGTCAGCAGTGTAACTCACTTTTCGTTTGGCTATGATGGCACGAAGCGAAATATAAATCCGTTAGCGTCACTGAACAATTATCCAGGCCAATAGTCCCATGCTGTGAAAAGTAGCATAGCAAGAGTTTACAAAAGTTATTCAATATATATTTTACCATATATTTTCCCCTCTAAGGCATGCGAACGCTGAAGTAAACCCGACGCAAATTCTGATAGATTTTAAAGCTAATATTTTGGATGTACCACCGAGTCATACATTATTCGAGCAAGAACAAACGCGCTCAGAGCCACCGTATGTTACAAAATCTATTTGATGGTACTACTGCCGATGAGGAAACAATGCAAAAAATGTTTAATAACTAGCGAACTTTTTTAAAACTTTCTTGGTGTCCAGATATGGTAGGGCCAGACGGTAGTGGCAACAGCCAGTACTTGTCGATTTTTCAGTCGCTTTTCGTGTTTACTGGATAAGACTTCAGGTTACGATTCCCTTGCATATACAGGAGACAGAGTAAGCCTCATTTCCGTAACTAGAATTACTGAGATTTTGCGGAGTACCGCCATCAAAGCCAAAAGATGACGTTCGTGGAGCAACTGCTTGTTTTAGATCTGGAAATCAGATTTTGACCAAGCTGGGTGTTTATAGTAGCGGATGTTCGATACCCCACAGTGGATACAGATTTTTCGAGTACATATAATTAGCTTGTCGTAATTGAAAGAAACCAGCTCAATAGTTCTCGTTCATAGCTACAGGTTTGATGGATTTTTTCGAAGTACTAGGTTCATATTGTCAACATAAATGCCTCAATAAATGATGATTTTTACCTTTTTCGTCTGATAATACCTCGAAATTTCAAACCGCAAAGACAAAGTTAGAGACTCAACCGCAATCTATATTATGCAGTAAGGACAACCAATGAGACACATCTACGGGAGTTTGAGCCTGACCGATTAGCTGCAGTAAGTACAGACTTTCAGACAGTGATGAAACTGGGGCTGACTTCCCAATTAGACAGCCCTTTGGCAGCTCCGCTGCTCATAATAGTAAAAAAGGTCGGAGACGGATGTATGTTGAATAAGGAAGTCTGAACAACCTGATTATAACGAAAAGATATCCCGTCTCACAAATTGACAATTTTTGTTGTGGTTTTTCATTTACATGGTATTGGGTTTTTGTATGTATGATAAGTATAATCAAGCAGTAAAGCGATAAATCGATTGGTGAATAGTATTCATCGTTGCATTACAATTTATGATGATCATAAAATGCGAAGTCAGTATATGTTTTCATCGGTATTATGACCAGACCCGCTGATTCATAACTTAAAATGTAGCAGTAGAATGACCCAAGGAAATAAGTAGTGACTATGAAGACTTGATATATAGAATCGTACTCATTTTCGGTCACGAAGCTCAGCGTGGCTTGTGTCATCGGAAAGAGATGCGCTCGGCCTCGTTTGTTGAGAAGTCGACCTAGGACATGAAATTACTAATACGTACTATCTTGTATGATGAAAAAGTGAAACCAACTTTTTTATGACGTACATGAGAGTATCAGTGAGTGAACAGCTTTATAATCTGTGTTCTACTTTGCAATAAAATGAAGATGCATAATAATTACAGTAATCGAGAGATGTTTAAGTGCTATGAAAGTAGCATGATGCCATGTCTATGTAAACAAATAGACAAGATGAACATATTGGTTATTACTTGGCTGCAAAGTAGATAACATTTTCAATCATCTACATTGATACTGATACTTTGAATTTCCTTAAAAACAATAATACTCGAAGGCGTTGGATAAGACATCCACTACAACACACGTTCCATCACAGTGTTGGAAGCATACTCCACATCATCTAGTCAGCTTAGTGATTATGCACTGTGACGTGTCAGCCTTTTATCCAGGCGTATCTTCTCACATCATTCTCGGCTTCTGGTTCCATCGTCTTACGAAATATGCCATCAGAAGAGACCTCGACATTATTATTATTAAGTCTTCCACATTCGACATGTATTCGAGAATTATTGTGGAGTCTGCATGAAGTATAATATCGAATGCTCTAGCTAGTCGGTGCATGTAATTAAACGTCATGGTTCCAGTAGATTATCCAGTTATCCTGAATGTATGCAGATGTTAGTTTTGTCGATGAACGCTTCATTTTTGTGATTTGCTGGATTTTTCACAATCTTTGAACTTAGTGAGGATAATGCTTCTGATCTTTGTATATTCAGTCCTTTCTAATCTAGAGACCAGCTTAAACGTTGGTAATCACTTAGACACTCTTGGAGTCTTTATGGAATATTAGCTCTATATGTATGTCATTAACAACAGATATGAGGATTTCTTCGCGGCAACGACAATTTAACACAGTTGTCGTACGGCCTCAACTTCGGATGTCGAAGACATGATATAAAAATATAGAACAAGACCAACCTTACTGATGCGTTTTGGACTATAAGCGATACATGCTTGAAGCTAATGGGTTGGAAGCAACCTATGATGGACCTATCGCTCGACGGTTTTTGTTTCAATAACGTTGATCTTTTTTAAATATATGAACGATTGTAACTTTGTTTTAGGATATTAGAAGCTCAGTCAATTCTGTGATCAACAGACCTCAATTATCCCTAAAACGTCTACATTTTGGTTCTCTGGGTCTAATGTCTTGTGATCTTCTCTATTAGAATAAAATGTCTCAAAAACGTATAGTGAAACTAAAGAAAATTAATGCTCATAAAGGGGAAATTTAATGTAGTCACAAAACACTTAACTCATCATATTAATTCCATCATCCAAAACCTGTCAACGCTGATCCAGATATTTCGGTGGATTGATTACTAACCTTGAAACGAGCTTTGCTTGATGCTTGTTTGAAACTGGAACTACGATCAATTTTTCACTTCTGGAATTCAGTTTTGGAATCTAGATCTGCTGGCCACCAAACCCTAGTTAAGGTTGGAATTCGAATTAAGATTTGGATTGAAGAATAACTATCTAAGTAGTTTAGATACGCGCTATTTCCCAGTTGAAACCCAAACAAGGTGATTGAGTTTCCATTATAAATATAAATGTACATTATCTCTTCTGGATAGAGATTCGTTCGAAAGATAATATTTGACTGCATTATAACACAGAGTGTTTCCAATTCTGGAAAAGTGCTTCAATACGAAATCAAAAATGCACAATTCCAGTAAATGCAAGCAACACAATCAAAAGCGGAACAAGTCAATATGGCTGCCTGCAAGACTAAGTATCAACTAAAACAACATAAATGCAGTTCAGGAAGAAACATGAAAACTGAGCGAAGGAGTAAGGGAAACAAAAAACTACAATAAAATGCAAATATTACGATCTGAAATGTATTCAAAATACTGACGGGATCTACAACTGAAGGAATAAATTACAAGTATATACATGGAGAAATTTCTGCGCACAAAACCTTCAAAATGGATGTTACACCCATCCCAAGTGTCAGTGAAGTTGTGGTGTTGTAACTATTAACTCTCATTCTTAGTGAAGATGGGATCCCTCAAGTTTTCCAATTCATTTTCTTCTGCTTATTTGCGTTTCACCTTGCTGTCTAGTACACACGCATCGTAGTTAAAACAGAGAATTGCAGGAGAATATTAATTAGAAGTGACGATGTTATCGTTACCCTACGGACTTTCACCCGCAACATATTTACTGAAATCGGTCTTTGTTGTGTGGTTTCGTTAACAGTAAACACGCATCTTGTATAATTTCTCGTTTTCCTGTGATTGATGAGCAGTTCAGTTGATAGTATCCCAAATCTACTTATAATCATCAGTACATTAAATATGACATAGTGGCTTGATCAAAATTCATTAAGACACCTCGAGGTGACTATCCAAGTTAAAGATGACATATATATTCGGAGTTTCACAACGCCATTACACCTAACACCTGTATAATCGAAGGATACCAACTCAGTCATTTGAAAAGTCAGGAATGAAGTGGTTCGAGAATATATTTGAAAAGTCATCGATATATATAGGAAAGCATTCGATCTAAGCTGTCTAACTGTTGCAAGCACGGCGTACGCACTCTTGATCTGGTGTAGATGCGTGACAAAGCGCGTTCAGCCAGGTTGTGTCCAGTAAAACTAATAAGGTTAGCTTCAGTGTCGAAGACTTACAGAACTAGATATTTTGTGGATTTATTCGCCGCCACAAGAACAATCGTAGCTGTTTACTTTGTTCCAAATGTCTGATAATAAGTATATACACTAAGTAACTTGGGTTTATTCCTTGCTTCTATCTGCACACTTAAAAATGATTTGCACAGATATCTAACCATAGTGTGAGGTCAACTTTTTTCATGTAGCATGTCATTAAACTAGGAAGATGAGTGAAATACTTTAATAGTTAGTTATATTTTCTTACATCAAAGTGCTTTTGATAGATCAAGATAACGGGGCATA